GTTTATGGGTGGATGCTGGGAACGCTTAATACGATCTGTGAAAAACTCCATTATGGTCACCTTAAAAGAACGTTCGCCTCGGGAGGAGGTTCTACACACATTGATCCTAGAAGCGGAGTGTATTGTTAACTCAAGACCCCTTACACATGTGCCTGTTGATCAGGATTCGGACGTCGCTATAACACCTTTTACATTTTTGATCGGAAGTTCCAGTAGCGACTTACCTCTAAGACAATTTGAAGATTGTGATCTTTATAGGCGAGTGAACTGGAGGAAGGCTCAGCGTTTCGCCGATCAAATGTGGCAGCGCTTCATAAAAGAATATTTGCCTACCCTGGTACCACGAAGGTCTACATCCCAATCAGCAGTCAACCTCCAAGTCGGCGACCTCGTATTTATAGCAGACGGCACACTACCAAGATGCAGCTGGCCTAGAGGGAAAATAACAGCCACGTATCCCGGCAAAGATGGAGTAGTTCGCGTGGCCGATGTTGCCACAAAAGGGGGTGTGCTGCGCCGCCCAACGCGGAAGTTAGCGTTGCTGGTCACCGGCCACATTAAATAGGTGCTTCTCACCGTCGGGGGCCATGTTGGTGACCCGCTACGCAAACCTTTTTGGCATGTTTATTTTCTAAATTCTCAGTTTTTAAATAAATGTCATTCATACTATTAGACTTACGAAACAAATGTAAAACTTCAGTGTGAGAATAACAATATACGGCTGTGACAGTGTTTTCGTGGTTTCCTTTAAAATTACCTGGTAGCCAGATCTCTATTTTTTTTCATGGCGTATCTTGATACACTTTGGCTGAAGTTTTCACTCCTTTTTCGCAAAAATGGTGTTTTGTAATTCCTTGGTAGGAGACATCCCACCAAACTATGACGTATGCTGGATGATGGCCTCGATGAACTTTGGCTACTACCTTGGAAGCTTATTTAGAGCTATGTGCATATACTCGATCATTTTCTTTGTTGTAGTGTTCCTCGATTGTAAAAATTTTTTCATCGGTAAAAATATTTTTTCTGTTTTTCGTCCGCGTATCGAAGTAACAGCTGTTTTGATCTTTCAACTCTCTTTTGTGTGAGTGCCTGTTTTAAGGTATGTACTGTGTATCTCCGGTAAGCCCCTAGACCTAAGTCTTGTTTGATAATTCGAGAAAGTGTTCGCGGTTGGATTCTCATTCCTCTGGAAAGGATTTTCTGCTTCCTTGTGGGATTTCGACGAATTTTGGCCTTGACTGCATTAACGGCCTGGTTTGCTCGAATAAATCGCGGTCGGCCGAATCTCTCACGGTCATCAACAGACATGGATTCAGTGTACCTTTGGATGGTACGATACACACACATTCGGCTAATTCCTAGCTTTTTCAATGTATCAAAAATATCGGCTGGCTCCTTACCTACTTTGCACAGTGCAATTACTGCAATCCTATTCTCTTTAGTACCCCACTCCATTTACAAAACAAAAAAATTCTAAACAAAAACATACAATAATGGCGGGAAAGAAGTCTTTTTTTATCGTAGAAGCTAATGTTCGAAGTTCAAATTAATATTTTTTTTTTAATGTATGTAAACAGTCAGTAACAGAATTTATGGCTAGACTAGGTAACTTCGTGATTTTTTTATAGCAAAAATGTTCTAAATCTGCATTTCTTTTTTTTTTTTCAATTTAGATTACAGCTTATTTCGATATTATTTCTGTACAAAACTAGTTCAAAGTAGATAGTTTTGGGTGCACGCACCCTCTTAAGATTTAAGGTCTAACAGTCCATATCTAATAAAAAGCAGGCAATTGTGTGACATAACACTTAAGTTTTTATAACAGTAATTCTGAAATGATCTCACGCTCATGGCACACATTAACAACTGTATAGACAATACGACTCAAATAATTTTATAAGTAGCTCATATTTTATGAACTCGACCTCGATATAAAGTGGTATAAAACATTTTTTTTTATAATATGTTATTTTGGTCAAAAACTGTGAATGGGCATTGAAAGGGAACACCGTTATCCTCCAGACGGTTTATCATGATTTTTATAAAGCTGACATTATTATTTTTGATAGATCTAATATTTGTGTATTATCAAATTCATACTTTCATTCACTCTTCTTTAAGTTCACGTTGAGCTTATTGTTATTGTCGCTGAGCTTAACGCCTCTGAAATAGTAAAATATAGGGGTTTGAAAAAAATTCTCCTTCTTGGTAGTGACCATATAGCTGTGGAAGTGGCACATCCTCTATTAATATTCATTAATAATTATTTCATATTTATTATTTCCTATTTAAGGGCAATTGAGTGGCCAGTTCTTCGGAGGGATCAATTGGAACCCGCAGAATTGGATTGGATTGAACAGAACCCACAGGCTGTTTATATAGAATTTGACGTCAAAGCAATTAAAAACAATTTTCCTGGAGTAGGAGTTAGAAACGAACCATCGACGACAGAATTCGATGCACTTCGCGGACAGGGTAAAATAGAGCGAAAAATGTTGCCATTGATAATAACTAGTTTGTTTAAAATTTGTTTTTTTTTATGTGTGTATCGATTGTAAAACTATTTCAATTGTGTAGTTATTTAGTATTACTTAACAGAATTCTAAACTACTGGGCTTGCTTTTTTCTTTTTAGTTTTTATTTTAGTTAATTTTTCATGTATTTTTGATTAGTTTTAATCAGTTGGTAGGAAACACGCGATAATCAACCAAGGTTGTCGAATGTATTGTTAGAATCGCACCTCAATAGAATCTCAACAACTTGCATTTTGTTGTACTATCTACCAGAAGTCCATTATTGTAACGTCTTCTACACAAATTAATGGTGACAGATATATTTATTGTATTGTGATCTAGTAACAATTATTGACAGATATTTGTAGCTCGGTGGCAGTGGATAAGCGCCGCGGCCCGCGATCGTTGTCGTTAAGCAACTTTCGCAAGGATCGGTCACAGGATGGGTGACCAAAAAAAAAAATATTATCTCGAGCTACTCCGTTCATCGGAAGGCACGTTAAACTGTTGGTCCCGGCTGAATTTGCAGTCGTTAATACCCTCCAATCCGTATTAGGCCAGCGCGGAGGGTCATGACCATAAGGAAGGCCTGAGCCCCTGCGTGGGGACATAAAAAAAGGGCTGATGATGATGATGATGATGAACAATAGTTGTGCCAAAAATGGTTGTAGTTGAAGCACTATTGATTTTCCATAATTACGCTTACATTAGCAGAATTGTTCTACTGAAGACAATAAGCAAGATCACCTTGGTTGGTTGTTGTCAACCGTTTGGATAATGTTATATTCTTAATTTAATAGCATTACAGTACTAATTTGACTCGTAACGACAACACATTATCCCATTGAATCATTTCAAGTAACGTAACCACAAAGAAAATTGAATTATTAGCAACCAGAATGACAACAATTAAAAGAACCACAGAGGTAATAGAGAAATAAATTAACAGAAACATTGTAACAACGTAAAATGACGACAAATTTTGTGAAATCTGGCGTATGGAAATTACTGTGTGAAACGAGAGGTCCTTAAAAGTGGCTTATGATGTTGACCACAGATTTCTATAGCGACGGATGTGACATGAAAGTCAAACTATGGTTCATTGTTTGCAGTCAGTAACGTATGACCGAGTTTCACTTTAGTAAAGTCAATTATATTCAGTTGCTAAGGGATCGAATTATCATCTATTAAGGATCACTAAAAAGCAAATTACATAAGTTAATGACAAAAATATATATTTATTAATGTTTTCAAATAAATATTGCCAGACTTAAAAATGACCTCACTATGAACATATCTTTGCAAAGCTAAGAACTAGTAATCACCGACGAAAATGGCATAATTTTCAAAAAAGTGTGAATGGAAGTCTTGTATCTAGTCTTGAGTTCCCGGGCTCGATTATCGGTTGTTGGGTCAATGTAGAAAATGTATTTTTGTGTTGTCATGGGTCTGGGTGATATAGTACTTTCGTTGTGTCATATATTCCATAGTATAAAAGCTTTAGCTACTCATCTGAGCAGTGTATTTAATATATTTTTTAAAATAAGATCAAAATCATTAAGTGGTAACATTAATTCATATTTATTCACAGAATTGCTATTATTGAGTTACTGATATTTTGGCAAAGTTGCAAGCGCCATGCGTGATCACGAAGTAATACTAATGACCACGAAAGTTAAAAATAATTACATATATTTGACATAAATATTAACCATATGTAAAATTATGTTACTGCTTTTCAAGCGCGATGATACATTTCCTAAACATTTGCTTAATTTCTCTTACATATGCAATGTTATCTATTAATGATTATGATTTATTAAACGAACATTTGACGCCTTAGATTAGAGTAATGGGCCATGACGTCATTTGATCGAAAGCCTCTTCAGTAAGAGAAAGATTAGTATAAAAAAGACTTTACTAAGCATCTTAATCATGTTACGTTTACTGTTTTTAATATAATACTAAAGGATAAATATGCTGATAGAATACCGAAATTGAAAATGAAATTAGCTTTATGTGACATGTAGTAGATGATTATTATTTATGATATATTAAAGTAACAACGCAATAACTCATTGTAAAGTATAATAACTAAACCTTAGTCTGGTTTAAATCATTGGCCGCCTAAAGAAAATTGAAAATGACAGAAGATAAGCGTTAAGTTGAGACATGTTGACTTATTTTGTTCAGATAATAATTTAACCCTGGTGTTAAATAATTTAAAATTGGTTCTCGTTATATAATATGTAGGGTGATAAACTTAATTAGTATTACCTATATCGATGAGAAATATTAACGTTATTAACAAAAGTGTTACAATTTCCTAGAACTGGAAACCGGAAATAGCAGAGAGCATCCGGTTTTGCTTCTTGTTTTAAATAAAACACCGTCCTACTTACAAGTGGCACGTGTCTATGAGAAATTACAGCTTCTTAATTGCCTTATAATTATTTACATAAAATTTAAACTTAAATAATGACTAACCTGGTTCTTCTTCATCGTGGATTTCATTTTCCTCATCCAAATATCTCCCTTCAAAATCCTTATTAGGATTACCACTGAGGTAGATGATGTTAGCTTCATCACTAAATTTTCTCACGTCCACGTTATTTTTCTTAAAACACACACCATGACCTATGTCAATATCACCATTAAACTTTAAGCTATCGTCCAAATAACTGTAGACGTTCTTCTGTAAACAACTTACAGACATTTTTCCAGTACACTTATTCAAAATATTATCCCACAACAAATTACCAGTTCTGAATGTACCATTCTCGTAAACGTCACTAAAAAACCTACCAGTTACACTTTCGATCACTTTCATACGTTTCGCTATATCTTGTTTAAGTGTTTCTGCTCCATCACTTGTTTTGTTTTCTTTACATTCACTTAGGTTAACATTAAAAGCTACAAATATTACTAATGACACTTTCACTAGATTGAAAACATTTAAATGGCGATATCGGTTTTTGTTGAAACGATTTCCTACATTTTCTTTTGCACAACATATATGAAGATCTCTTTTAGCCATCTTCAAGGCATAACTGGTTATACTGCTGGCACTGTTCATACGTTACTCAATGTAAACAAAAGGTATTCAAGCTGTTACTAAGAGAATTCACCCGTGCATTCATTTCCATTCTTGTGGAGTCAAAATTGAGCGGAGGCGGATCAATTTCATCAATTTGTGAAAATTCGTCTCCTATGTACACAGTATGGGAAATTTTGGCATATTTGTCATCCAAATCCAACTTGTCGTGTCATCTGTAACAAAGAGAATTGTAATTATATAAGTAGAGAAGATCTTACATAATGCAGATATTTATTGGATATTGTTCTGGAACAAATTTAGTTCACGTGTGTGTAATACGATCGTTCGAAATTGTCGTACTGATTTTAACAAGTTCAATAAACATAATTTTGTTTGCATGTCCAACAACAGCAGCTTTCTCCTTTATACGATATTATATTGCGTGATTTTAACATCAATTTTGCAGTATGAAATATTTTCTATTATTTCTGATGTTTTATAAAAATCCGTTACACATCTGTGAATAGTATCCGAAAAAAATATAAAATAGAAAAAGACTATGTCGAGTTACAGATACGTCATCTCATAATTATGGAAAAGTTTTCTATTTCATCGAATATTTTAAGTATCACCGAATTCTTTCCTTCATTAAACAGATAACCTAAATTCTTGCCTAATCAATGAGTCGTGTCGCGTACAAGGCACCATATGAAAGTAACAATCGGTACGTCCAATGAATAAAATCGCGTGACCATGCATTAGAATTTACTTTAATGTGTACGGATCTCTTTAAAGATGCTCATGATGATATTAAACACGAAAGATCGAATCATGCTGAATAAACTAATGATGTAAACGAAATTGGACTTTCTCCACAGTCCGAAGTATCAAAAACGTATAAATTCATTTGCCTTAAAATGTTGGACGACGTTTCAAACTGGTTATGTGAAAAAGATTATATATGTATATTCATATTATAAATAAATTATGTGAAAGTTCATTTAAATACCTACCTAATTAACAGAATTATCGAAAAATAACCTTTTTACAATTTTTTGGGTATGCTTAATGTAAAATGTTTAAAAAGATGAGGACCCGAACCCATGACCTTTCGCAATACGGGTGACTGCTCTAACCACTGCGCTACCCAGAACCTGACAGGGCTAACGAATTTTTCAAGCACTTGTTATTTTTTCGCTAGTACAGAGCGTAGTTTCATCAATGTTGGCCGAAAGAAATATTTTACAAATATTTAAACTTTCGATAAATATGAAATTTTGTCCTAATTATAATATTTGATCAATTTTGCATTCACAATTCTAAACTGAAAAATATTCCTAATGAAAAATACTTTAAAAAATGTTGGGTATGTTTTAAGCGATTTTTTTATTTATTATTTATTTATTTACCAATATAAAAGTGACTTTAATGAGGTTTTAATTAATACATTATACTATCTGTTCAAATAAAAGCAGCAAGAAAAATAGCATACGAATAAATTTAAAAATTTTATAAGTAGGTATTAATTAGATTTACTTAATATCTGGAAAAGTATAATTATCTAATGTTTAAGACATTGGGCTTGTTTTGACTAGTTTTGATTCTTTGTAATATGATACTGAATCTAATTTCAGATACATAATATACATTCCCTGGGAGATTTCGTCTTAAACATCCTAATTATTGTGTTATCTATAGTTTTATGCAAAAAAAAAGCAAATAAAAGTTTTTAAAGGTCCACAAAGATTAGTTTTCAAAACTCTCGGAAACAAAAAAGGTTATCAACAATAAAATACCATTACGTTTGAAAGATATTCAATGTCTGTTAAGTTTAACCCATATTATAATTTAATTTATAGAGTCTAGTTAATAATGAATAAGTTATTATTTTATGATTTACTTACTGAATAATATTTTTTTTAATTGCGATTAAATTTAATTATTTTGTCTATACAGACACAAACGTATGGAAGCTGAATTTTCACAGACATGTACATTACTAAATAATGCCTTCTACGCCGCGTTTGATCATAATTGGAAACTTTAAAAGTAACAAAGCAAAAGTATAGCTTTATTTTCGGTAGCTATATTGAATCATGAAAGGACAATGTTCAGCCCCCATACATTTTTCGCCTAAGAACCTCTAAGCATGTACTATCACTTTACGTGTTCTAAAGTATCTGTATTTACGTCTAAATACATGTTTAAGTAACGGACACTTCTAAGAAATGTATAAATCAAAAAATATATTTTAGATTTGAGGTTATAATTTTAACAATTTTAGCGCGCGGATAGATTCTTTTTAATGTTTGTTTTACTTGCTTTTTGTAGGGAAATGTATGTCTACTTTGCTTTAAATATAGCTAGGTTTTGTAGATACTTACTTAGCTTGATTTAAAAACAGTTTCGGAGCTTAGATTCCAGGTTTGTGGTTACTGGTTTGTTTCGAGATTTCATAACAGACATTTAGTAAACTTCACTATCTTATTGCTTACGAAATTAATCTACAAAAGTCTGCATGCCAGCAACATAGCTTTTTAGGGGTGGATATTTTTTAAAATCGGTTATAACCTAGTTTTAGTTTATGTACCTATCCATTACAAGCTGGTATAATATTGGTGTATTCTAGATATATGATAATTAATGACAGTTCCCTTTCTAGCGGAGTCTAGTGAATTCGTAGTTTATTTCTAATCCTATAAACCTATCTATATTTTACAATCTTGGGTACCTAAAAACAATGGAATATTAATATTTTTTACACTACCTACTTACCTAGATAAATATGTATGTATATAGATAAGTAGGTAGTGAAACTATGTAGTTCCACGCCCGTATCCGCGAAAGGATAGGCCGAGATGCATTTATACACCCACATTTCGCGAGTTATGTTTTTGTTCTACGTAATAGATGGCGATTCTTGCTGTATCGGGAGCATGTCTATTGTCTATACTCCATGCTGAATCTACTAACAGAAAAGTGCAATAACACTGATAGAACCGAGAATAGACTACCTCGTCGGTTGTTTGTTGTTGTTGTCAAACAAAACTTCAAAAGTTCAAAACAGTCAAACGTATGTAAAAGAATAAATGAGCGCTTCAAGCCGCTTCAAAATCTACGAACATTTTGAGTCTCGTTGTAATGTCAAGCGCTTTAAGTGCTCATTGGTTGATTAAAATATGGTGGCAGCATTTATTGAAGCTTATCAAATGTATTGATATTACTTTTAATGTAATTACAAAAATGGGCAGTGTCTGTTTGATTTTAAAAGCTGATATATTAATCATAAAATATGATAAGAATTATGATATACAAGATATTCTTAGAGGTTCATAGGCTAATTTGGACATTGTCCTTTATGATATAAAGAGCAAGTCCTAAAAATATCTAAGAGCAAAACTATACGTATGTGTAAATAAAGAAGTTAATTTTAAATATAAGCACTTCAACCACGGGAATGTCAGGTTTCTAATGTCTTGGTTGTTAAATGAGTTGCGCCAGACTGGTCGCTCTTGTGACCAACAGACACAGATTGGAAGCACACTTTAATCATTATGAAGTTTGTCTCAGGCTGTAGCACATATGACAGCGGATAGAAGAGATTACGGCACCGGGCGCGAGTGGTGCTATTTAGAACGAAGTTTTTCTTAGAAGCTTGTTAAAGCTTGCTAATGAAATCAAGATATAAAAATTGTAATAGCAATAATCAATTTCCTGTATATGTTATTCTCTTTTTTTGTCAATAGTCAATAATGATTGATTTATCAAAATTACCGAATTCTTGTTAGGCTTCGTCATATTACAAAGGTGTTTGATTTTGTTAACCGCCTTTCTTTTTCATTTTAGATGGATATAAAATTACCTACTAAGCAAACACAACACGCGCATCACCTAACCATGCAGTTTGTGCACTAGCTGAATCAGTTCAAACCAGTTGTCAGATATTATACGCATATGTGACAAGTGGCACGTGAGCATTTTCAAAGCACCGCAGGTTTAAAGCAGTGAATCTACTATGGCAACATGAATGAAAATTGTGTCTCTTTTTCTTCTTACTATTCTTTTTTATCTCTTTTTCTTCTTATTATTCTTTTTGGTATATTATTCCCCTAACGGTCTGCTGCTTGTCTTTTGTCCTCCATTTTATTGTGATCCATTTCACAAGTTTACACTAATAGTTATTTGAAACAAACTTTTTTAATTTATACTTTTCTCCGTTTTTTACTGCTTTCGCTGGTGTAAGCATTTTTTTATTATAACTGCTTTTTACGGTCTGCCCATTGTTTTTATTGGACGTAAAGACAAAAGTATTGTTAAGGGACAGGCGATGACAAATTGCGAGTTTAAAATAAATTCACGTTTTTACTGTGCCAAAATAATATTTTATTATGGTGTAGGCGTGACGTTTCTCCTTTTTAATTACAGATTATTTTAACGGTCTTTCCTGGTACAAATCTATTTGAAACATAGTAATTTTTGGTACACACAACCTCTTAACACCGATGGTTTTTGATTTCTTATTAAGTTTTCATCTATGCAGATTTTTCTATAATCTTTATTATTGCAATATATAGTTTTCCCTTACGTAGACGTCAAGAATGAGTAGCTATGGTAAATTGCCGTCAATCATTAGATTTTAAATCATAAGTACATACATATTAAACTTCATTTTTCCACTCACAGAACTGGATGATCAAATTCTAGTAGACAGATCCGTTCCGCTTTCGAGAGAGGCGCACGCGCTGAACATTCTGACCACGCCACTAATAAATTAGTGTTACCATAAAGTAAGTGTAATAAGTGAATGTTATTACAAGAAACTATAAACAAGGTTCTTAAACAACGGAACGGAACTTGCACATAGTAAAACTGTGGTATTTCTGTTACCCTCTGTTAACAAGTAATGTTGCAGTTAAAAAGTAATTAACATAAAATGTAATTAACAAGCACTATAAAATTTTGTAGATGATTAGCATAGTATAATGAAAATAAAACATAAT